ACGTGATCCACAGTCATACTGGGTTTGCATTCCTCTAAAGTCATAAGTATGTTACTTTTGTAAACATTGTTTCACATAACAGAGTATCAGTATAAATATCTTGGGGAATTTGGTAATCTGTTCAAACCGTTGCAGTCCAGGAACATAAATACGAAATCATCAAACTATTTGATAAAAAAAAAAAAAAAAAAAAAAAAAAAAAAAAAAATTAAGCCAGAAGAGGCATAGAAACATAGAATCACCATAGAATCACAGGATGGTTTGCTTTGGAAGGGGTCATCAAAGATCATCTAGTCCCATTCCCCTGCGAGATGAAGGAGTATCTCATACTACATCCAGTTGCTCATCCAACTAGACATTGAAAACTTCCAATGATCAGGCATGCACAATTTCTCTGGGCGACCTGTTCCAGGATCCCACCACCCTCACCATAAAAAAACTCTTCCTTATATCCAATCTAAACCAACTTGCCTTACATGTAATTTCAAGTCCTCTCAAAGACCAAAACACATTTTGTTTGCAGAGAACAAAGCTTATTGCTTAATGCAGAAAGTACTTCAGATTTACAGATCTAAGTGAGCCCTAGCTACTGGTCATCAGAGCTATCCCATCCCCATTCTAGGATTGCTGGCACATCACACACCCTGTGAACATGTAAAATGTTTCTTGAAATTAGCTCACTTGTGACCTGCTTGTTCTGTAAAAATAAGCATTAAGTGTCTGGCAAAACAGAGTTACACCAAAATATCTCAGCCAGCTACTTCACAGCCAGACAAGACTTGGAGTCTTGTCCCAGATTTTTTGGTTTATTTTTTTTTTCTGTCAGTAACTTTTCTTTTGGAAAAGCAGAGGAATGTTTGAGGATGTATTTGTTAAGAACTCTTTTCCCCTTCTCTAATCCTTCCTTTCACCCTCACAGAAATCTGCCATGGCCAATGAGCTAAAAGATTTCCTTTAGGAAAAATTTCACTTCAGTTTCAGATACTTTTCTATAGACTTAATGACAGTTTATCATTCTCTTCTCTGAGGTCACACTCAGGGATGCCAGTACTTCTCCTTCTAAAACACCTTCTCAATCTCCAGCAGTCAATATATTTATTTGACTAGGTAAAAGAACCCAAATATATTGTGAAATACAGACACCAAATGAACGTTGAAAGTTATACATGAATTACAAGAAGCATTCATGCAACTTTTTGCTTTGACTTCAAAGCCATTCTCTGCATTATATATATTTTTTATTTAGATTTTGAGGCAAAAACCTACATGGACTCCAAAATTTCCAATGACTCCTTTGTATGCTTTGATAAGATTAATATTCTTGATTTCCATACAGTCAGTCAGTTTGGTTTTTGCTGCTGCTGTCTATCTCAACAAATTCCTGGGCCAATAAGTTCCACAGTTTAATCATATTTTGTGTGAAGAAGCCTACTAGATTAGAATTTTGTACCTATTAAATCTATTTAATATTTCCAGAGCCTATGTTACCCACCAGGGAAAATGTGGTTAATAGAAAAAGCTAATCAGAAAACTGAAGACTCTTCACAGCATGTACCGTGAAGATTTCAAAATCTATGATGTATTCTTTGGCACCACTCTGTCATCAGTGGTTTAAAAAAACTTGGGCAGAAACATGCATAGAGATTTTTTTCTTCCAACAATATGAATATACTTCCTTCTAACTGAAAACAACTTCATTTTGAACAAAATCAAGCAAATTATAACTAATTACTGCCAAATCTACTGTGTACTTTTGATCCATTCAGCTAAGCTTACTGATTTGTGACATCCTCATAACTCATAAAGGCTAATTCCCAAAGACTATGATTGTGTAATTCTCATCTTTTGATCAACAATAAACATTCCACAGAAAAACAAAAAATCTTTTCAGCGTCATTGTACTGTGCCATGTCTGGTAATATTGCTTATGTATTTGGTAACTGGCAAGTTACTTCTGCAGACTTTTATTTTAAAATAAATTATCATAGGCACACAAATAATTAATTTATTATTTTAGGGGGTTTTGATGCAAATTTCTGTCCCCTTAGAGCTGTGTTTCATTAATGGATTATCTTGGTTCATCTCAAAATTCTCCAGTATTCCTAACTGTGAGACTGCTGCACACACACACGTACACAGCCACATACAGCACAGCAGAACTCTTCTACTCTAATTTTTGGCCATGGTTTTCAGCTAAATAGTAGTAGTTCATGCTTTGCAGTAGCCATACCATACGCATGATGTGAAAGCAGGTAAACATGATCAATGTTCCGTGGTCACTTTTCTTTCCCTTATGTAAGAAATAATTTTGGAAGAGTATATAACCAGGGATATAACCAGTTATCTTCACAGAGCATCCAAGAGAATTTGTGTGGCTTTAATAAGATATTTACAGATGCAGGACTCCCACTGCCCAGACCTATAAAGCCAATAGAAAGAGGTAGACTCCTCTGTTCTAATCATTTGCAATGGGTTTATAATCTGGGTGCCACCCCTCATGTCCTTGATACTGACTGCATTGACAGAGATCCAAAGTATAGTACCTTATAGAGAAAGGATCAAATCACTCCCCTGAACTCAATAGTTACACACCTTAAAGCAAAATGGTTTTCTGGCACCACAATGAATAAAGGGCCAAACATACCCACCAGGCCAGTCTTCCATCCCGGTCCACATAGACAAACTGGTGCATGGGAAATCTGGAGAGTTCTTGGTTTGCACTCAAACATCATTGCAAAGAATCTACACCAAGGAAAGACACATAAAGTATTAGTGGAGTCTCTTATACATGATATGGTCAGAGTGAACTTGCCTGGAAGTTTTCTTCTTTGGAGCCTCCCCCAAAATAAAAGCCAATTGAAATAAAATTTTCAATTTTCTTCCAAATTACATTATAAGCCAGTTACAGTAAAAGTGACCCTATGCCTTCAAGTAGGCTTCTTATGAGCTGCATTGTCCTTGTCAAATGCTTGACTTCTTGTAAATCGAATCCCAGTCTCAAAGAAGGACTATATATAGAGAGCAGTTACTGCACACTTCCGATCCACTGCAGCAGCCAGGAACCCTGCAGTTTCTTAAGAGAGAAACACACAACACAAAGTTATAAATATTTCTTTTTTTTTTTTTTTTCTCAGGCACTCTTTTCACCCCAGAGACTGGAAATAAAACTGAGGAAGCTGATCATATGACCCTGGGAGAACTGAAATGATTGCTCTGATATGACCAGTCTTTGGTAGGATCCTAAGGAACAGTATGCACTGGTGACATTAGCAGCAAGCATTAACTTTTGGTCTCAATCATCAGTCGCAGTAAATCTGTGACTTGCAGCATGCCTCATATTTACTGCTGCTGGTCTAATACATGGTTTACCACAATAAGCAATCTTCCATTTTGGAAGGCCTGTGGCTGTCTCAGATACATCATGCTTAGTGAGAGAATTTAACAGCAACTTGTACTCAGTTTTCAAAAAATGAGACACGTTTAACACATATTTCTGTGATTTCAGGTGTATTTTCTGTAACATTCTGTAAAGCTGTAAGACAAGATATTGTAAGGGTCAATATAGTTTCAGTTAATTTTTTCAGCCCTTTTTTCTATTACTTTTAAATATAATGTATTTTTTTTTCCTTCAAAACCAGAACTTTTTAACAGACTAGTGTCCATATAATGACTACCAGCACATAGACTAATAATTTCCACAGCAACCGATGACTAATGCAAGAAGCAGGTATCTGGTTGAAAGTTCTTCTGCAGCTGGAAATATTCCCTTGCCTTTTAATTCCCTTCAGTCACCAAAAAGGGCAACATTTCCTCACAATATTTGGGGCTGAATTTGTGATGGCACTCAAAAGACCGAGTTGAGGTTACTAATTTTGAATCAAATATTCAACATCAGTCGAAGTCAAATCTTATTTTGGCATTGCTCTTTCTCTTCCATCAGTTTCAGAGCTGGATCCAAATTTTGCTCTATACATATCACAGTTCTGGCATGATCCAGCCAAATCAACTGACTTCACCGGTGCATGAGTAGATTCTGAAGTCATTTAAGAACAAGTCAGGAAAGAACCATAGAAATGTACAAGCTTACAAGCAACTGAACCATCAAAGACACTAAAAGCTTGAGCCAAAATAAACAATTTTCCAGATCAGGGATTATATTCCACCCTAGGAATACTGACTGGTGGATTGCATTGTAATAGATTGCACTTTCATGCAAGTTTGCCTTCTGGCTTCTGTTCAATTAAAACACTCCCAGGTTAACCAGGCAATTTAGCTCTACTGCTCTTATTACCATTAACTCATAAATATTAAGAGACATTTGCCCTGGAGACTGCTCTTATGTTACATGCTGCTAATGCATTCTTTCACTCAGATTTGTAGGGGTTTATTTCATTAAATGGAAGGGGACAGAAGCATCTCACTGTTGTTGGTAATCACAGGCTTGTGAGAAAAACGTCATGACCTTTTGGGGCATGAAAGTGTGTACAATAAGGTAATCAGTGTTTCCCTGGTGTCCAGATGTCAGGGAGCAAGGGCAAGGCAGTGCACCCTCATCCCTGTGGCACATAATAGGATGTGATGGCAGGGACCCACCAGGCTGCAGGGACATGCCTGGAATGTGACCTGGCTGGCAAGCTTTGGTGTCAGGAAAGATCTTCTAGAGAAAACTTTGCTCTTAATGTCATAAGTGGTTTTCATCAAGGATGTATATTCTCTAGACTGGCTATCAGTGAAAGGTGATATTCCCAGAAGTCATACTTTAAAAAATTACTTGGAAAACCTAGTGCATGTCATACCCATCTACCCTTAGAAGCAGATTCATTCTCCATAAATAAAGTGCATTGCACAAGTGCAAAACAGAGCCAACTTTTGTTGGTTGCTCATCACATTGTATTTTCTGGCCATTTTCAAATTCCACCAGACAGGCATCAATTCCCTTGCCTATATCCTTGAACACTGAAATAATGCTTCAAAAGAGACACCATGAACTGCATTTTCATTTTTATTCCAAGACTTTTACTTTGAATAGTACAGAAGGGTAAATGGTGCATTCCATTTATAATAAACATTAGGAAGAACAACAGCCACATTTTTCCCTTCAACTTTGTATTCCCATGAGCAAGAATAGCATATATTCAAAACAGAGAATGATGCTCTATTTTTGTCTGTAAGCTGGGTGGTCCAATTGGTTACTGCATTGGCCTTTCTTCTATGAACGCATTGATTTTAATAATAGCTTTGGACACAACAGAATATGAGTATGACAAATTCATCCTACATGTCCTGACTTGGGTTACAAAACCTCTGTACAATATACAGTGTACTTTAATATACTAGGGAACCTTAGAAACCAAGGGAAAACATCAGTCTGTAACTTCTGCATAAATTAATTTTACAAATACAATAAAAATTTTAATGAATACTTACATTGATTATATGATTTTTGACACCACACTTGTTACAGGAACTGTAAAATGTATGTCAAGTTTTACATCATCTGGAAACTTTGTCATTTTTCACTCAAGACTATACGTCTGTTACCTTTTACTTCTTCTTATATATATCTTTCTAACCTACCTAGAAGTCAAGATAAAGAGGAATAGGAAATATTTTCCATTTGCTAATATTTACAAATACCAGCAAGATTTTAAAGGAATCTTAAATGCTGCTTGGCGTATTTCTGAAGGGCAAAAATTCTTAAGACTCTGGAGACTGCACTAAGAATGAAAGAGAATTAAGACATGCAGTGGTGGAGATAATGTTTGACTGACATTTAAAGTCATTGAGTTAAAATGAAGGTTAACCTCATTAAAGGAGACTGTTAAGACAGGCATATGTTGTGGTCCAAAAGGAAGTTCTTGTTCTTTGAATTCTTTTCTCTTCAAAGGAATTTGAGCCTAACAGAAAGGATGCACAGCTCTACTTCTTACCACACTTCTTCCTGAAACTTATCATGGCAATTGGAGTGATACTAATTGCACAAAAAAGGACACCTAGTGTCTCCAAACAGAGAGCTGACCCTTTCTGTTACTCCTTTGAGAGCAAGGGAATCCAACTCTGATTTCTTACCATAAAGTATATTGGCAGAAAATTAGCATGTTCATAATGCTCTATAAATACCATACAATTAGAGAATGTAAAATAGAGTTTCAACTTCTAAGTGGTTGAAGTGAAGCAAGTGAAATCAAAACTTTCATATTTGTGAGCCTAAAGTGATAAAAAAAGAAAAACTGATGAGCAATGTGGGTTTTTCAATGCAGAATTGAATACATTATGGTCTCTGGAATACACACTACTTAAGTTGCATGGTTATATAAGTTTTTACTTGATTAGCTTTGTTTCTTTTCTTGAATTTAATGTTCTTAAAACTTCTGGAACCCAGGACAACTAAGCATAGCAATCCACAGCAGGGCAAAAATATTGGACAGACTCAAATCAAACACTGTTTACATTGGGGAACTTCAGCAGCTGATGCAGACCTAGGTCTTTGCTTTTCCAAGCATTCATCTAACTGTATTCCTGCTCTGTTTCCAGGGTTTGGGTTTCATTTTTTAATGAAAGCCTCAGCTAGCATCATAAACTATTGTATTGGACCCTTTATGTAAGCAAATACTATAATGTTGATTTTTCCTCAGCAAAATCCTCCTGTTTCATTAGTACATTTTTGCAGTACTAGAAATATTTGTGACCTATTGCTGCCCTTGATTTGTACTTCTAAACTGTTACCCTAGAGTATGCATTGACAATACTGTGTATTACACAAAACAGCATTTATTTCAGTCTTATAATCTACCAAAGTATGCAGCTAGTCAGAAGCATTTTCCTTCACATTTAAGTAAAAATAATTTCATAATTATTTCAGATTATATACAGCATGCAGATGGGAGAGGATCCAGTGATCAATTACCACATCTTAAGTCCTGAAATTATGCTTAATGGTTTCTTTTCTTGAAAAGAGCATAAGAAAATCAGTGTATGTAGTAGATTTATGAAAGTGTTTTGTGTTGAGTATTAAGGCTTTAGTTATTAGAAAGGACTACTAGTTCTGCTACTGTGCTCAAGAAAGTACTCCTAAAACATGTTATTTTTGCTAGCAAAACCAAATTGTTGAAAGACAGAAAAAAACAGGTAGTCTGCAGATATTCTGCCAATGTGATTGTCAAATACTGGTATTTCTCCCAATAGTTTAAAAAGTAGTTTTAATGCCCACATTAATTCCTAAAAAGGGTAAAATTTACTGGCAGAGCTCTTCAGTTTAAAATAAACTGGGACAAACTAGGCAGTCCAAGAGAACTGGGATTCACTCCCTGCTGACAGGAAAATTCATTTCAACCACCTCATAAATGTTGCACTCTAAGCAAATATCTCTCCTTAGAGACTGAAACTTGTGGGAATGTGCTTGGGATCCCAGTGCACAGGTCTCTGACATACTGATTCTATAAACTTTCTATAAACTGTAACCTCAATTACTAATAGTTGTCCCTAAAAAATATTTCCTTTGTCAAAAGACAGCAAACTCAAGTCTTTCTTTTCAGTCTGCAGAGTGTCTCCAGATAGCCCCAAGGAGCACTCTACTACTCTACTACAGTGCCACGCTAGGATTAAGAAGATATCCTTTATAATCTGATTTGGCTATTCCTTCAGGTCTGCTGGCTCAGATGTGAAATACTGTGCCCAGTATTTTCATCAAAAATAAAACAGAAAGCAAGGCAACAGTTGTCTGTATTAATACTTTCATGTCTTTGACAAAGTATCCATGCTGATCTTAAAGAAAGTAATGTACTTCTATACAAAGTCAAAATTGCAAATTAACCAGAGCAATAAAAAATAAATAATTTATTTACATAAATTAGCAAAATTCTTTATACTTCATAAAATAACTTAGCTTTTCCCTCTTACTCTTCTCTCTTCATTCAGGTTTAAATTAATGCAAAGGGCAGAGACCAACTTAAAAATCTTAAAAAGTGTAAATTTGCATGCATTATTTTAAGAAAATATTTAGTTTAATTAGCTAAACATTACAACTCACTCAATTCTAAGCCTCATTACAGTCATTTGAAATAAGAATGACTGAATGTGCAATTGCTTTAAAATTTAGTTCCTATCCAAGTTCCTAACAAAACAACTTGTATGTTCAATTCTCATCAAATACATATCTTTGCTTTTAAAACAATTGACCAATATTATCTATCAAAATCTGAATATTTTGGTGTTACAGGAGTCTGGTCAGACACAGGTATGTTCCAAGACTGATACCAGTTGGTATCCCCAAGTGTCTTGGCTCTAATGAAGCTTGGCTCTGTGCTCATACGTGCCTCTAATGGCTTCTTACACACATAAACCAGTGGGATCTCCTCCTTACAGTGACAGGCGCCCACATAACATTCTCTGGTTTATATAGAATTTCTTTATGCATCAAATGTTGAGCAAATACACCACTCACACTCAGCCATGGAGTCTCCATAATGTCAACTATATGGTGATATATCACTGGATCCTCTCCATCTGCATGCTGTGTACATATATATAGCTGGCAAATAGGAGCACATTTCCCTTGCAGTTATGTTACAGTCCTGTTGAAGGGTATGGAGAAATAAGGCACATATTTACGTACATAATTAGGCTTTCACCAGCTGTTTTTGAATTACAAACAAAGGTTGTTTTTATGAGGTGAGCAATTAAATGTACCATAATTTCCCAGGATTTAAAGTGATTTTTGTCAGCGGAATTATCTGTGTTCCCACTCACTCTCTCTACACCTATGCAGCTCCCTGGTGTGCTCTCCAAGAATAGTTCAGTTAATTTCTAAGTCACTCAACATATTTCACTTTTAAGCAGCTATGTTCTAAAAAGCTTCCACTGTTGTCATTCTGAATCTTTAATGGTATTGAAACTGTCAGGCAAAAATTGCATTCTCCTGCTGTTCTGAGCAGCAGGAGAATGAAGATGACAGAAGAGTCATGTTAATGTTAATCGTAGATGAGAAATACAATGGCATTTCTCAGAAACTTAGGGCTCTGCTTTAACAGGCACAGGCACTTTATTTTCCCCCTGTAGCCCATTAATTTTAAAAAATAATAACTGCAAATAAAAAATATAACAAAGAAAAACAATTAGCCAAATGGACTGAATCATGAAAATTCTCCCTGCCTGTATTTCCCATTGGTTTTCTAATTGCTGTCATTTTGAATAATTAGATTGTTGTGAGCAGGTTCCACAACTCAATAATTTTTAAGTAATTTGCAAACATTCACTTTCTTATGCTCATAGCATCTTTCCAAGATTATACCCTACTCAGACAGGGCACTGAAGAATAGAGGTCTAAGGTAGCTAGGAGCATGATTAACATCCTCTATAATTTAGATGTCTACCACATTGTAGCTGAGGCTACAGTGAAACTGTCACTAGGATCCATTTAATGGTTCTTTGAGAGCATTTCTGATCATTAATCTAATGAAAACCAAGAGTCTCCCTTAGAATGTGGTAAAAACAAAATATGAGACCATGTTCTCATGCAGATATCTACACCCTAGATATAAAAACTAGTAAAGAAAAAATATCCCACCATGAAGGATTTAGACAGAACTCAGTTATATCTGAATGTCAAACCTTAAGGAGTAATTCCAACTATGCTGCTGCCATCCCTGAAAGTTCCCAAAAAAAATCCCAGTACCCTGGTAGTTTTGTCTGTATACGCACACTCCCAGAAAACTCTACAAAGGCACATCTTCTACAAACTCATTTGAAGCTGTCTCCACTCCAGCAGCCAGGCCATCACGTTAGAGATGGTTTCTGCATAAGGCAAATCCCTCAAAGCCAAGTATGGCACCACGTTGATGTGTCTCCAGACAATTCCAAGCAGAGCTGGCTCTCACAGCCAGCTCTAAGCAGGGTGGCTGTGACCACCTGACTCTGCATCCACTCCAAGTGCTTTGGCACAGTTGGTGTTGACAGATTATGCCAATTATTCACCATTACTATTTGTATCCTTTCAAAATACTCTGCTGAGAGTTCAAAGACAAGGTAGTAGCCTCAATGCTCCCCAGATTTCCTACCATGCAGAAAATTTGCTTTTCTTATCAAATCCACAAAGCTATTTGAGGGTCTCAGTTTCTTATTTCAAAATTCTGTTAAGAGTAGCAGAAACACAGACTCTTTAACTAAAATTCAATAGCTTTTTCTATGTCCACTTCTGAGTGTGACACCACTGTGTGTATTTCCATCAAAGCACATAGAGAACTCCATAATTCTTGTATTCAGAAGCAATGACAGTCACTAATTGTCTTTATCCTTCCAAACCACCCATGAGTTAAAAAATACAATGTTCTCTTTTCCTCCTATGGAACTCGGACTTCAGAAATACAGCTCAGGACCCTTCATTTTCTGAAATACACTAATGCTTTTGATGATCAAGGCTTAAGCAAAATAATGTCCAGCACTGCTGCATTACATCTGACTGCCTGGCAAAAATCATACTTTGCTTCAGTTTCCAAAAAAGCCAATGTATTGCAGCAGGTGAACATCGGCTGCCAGGCAGACACACACCCATGACATTTAGGCAGGAAGAGACACCACCTATAACAGTCAAAAAAAGGGCACACCTGTTGAGCATTCCTGTAAATTCATTTGGATGCCCAGTCTGTGTAGAAGGGAATTTACACCATATACCTTCATTTCATTGTGGGGATGCTAGAAATTAAAGAGGCTGTTGATTCCCTCTGCACGAACGCTGAACAGATGAAGACAGCACGCAGGACTTCCTCACCATTCCCTACCAATGCCCCAAGAGACATTGCTACTAACCTGCTTATGGTCAGTTCATACTCCTGGAAGAAAGTACCACATTTTTTTGTGTTCTTGAATATTTTTGTCCTTGCCCTGAAGGAATTGTGTTCCTCCTTTGGCCTCCTGCTATTTTTCTTGAAAGAGATGACAGCCCTCTCTGCCTTTGTCTTGGTCCTGCTAGACATCATATTCTCTTGTTAATTCTTTGCTGAAGTTCTTATACCCCATGGAAATATGCACTTCCACAGTTGCTACTGAATGCAAAATATCCCACAACTCACAACAATTAGCAATGTCAGCTAGCTGTCACTTCTCTTTTGGCCTAAATATTGCTGGGGATCAACCACAGTTCCAGTTCTAGGAAGGATTTTGAACATTTTCTTTCTTTTTGAATGCCATTATTCCTGAGCCTCTGTTGTGATATCAGATTAATTTGCAATTAATAAATGAGCCAGATTCTTGGTGCCAGATATGATTTTCTTGCCAATAGAAATAGGCTTGGGGGAGACATAGGAAGGTCCTAAAATGCACTCTCATCAACACATAGTACAACCTATGTCAAAAGATTCAACAATTATCATTATGGGTCCCTATTAATGTACACAACTGTTAAGAACTAACTACTGCAGTTGCATTTTTCCTAAAAACATTGTAAACATTTCTCAGATTTAAAACACTGAGACTACGTTAAATAATCTGTGTTGTTTCCCACGCACTGTTTCAACTTCTCTGCCTTTCTTCAGCCATATAAAAAGTAATAGAAGATCACACTTGGATGAGGAAGACACACAACAACTAAATTTTCGCCTCCAAAGCACAGACTAGTGTTAGCATCCTCTATCCCTACTCTACGGCACATGAATTAAAACCAACTATTTCTGTTCCTTTGAATCTTATATTTTAAAAGACTGTTTGAACTAGAGATTTTAAACATGGCATTCTTTTAAAGACCACAGTACACATCTGGTGGTAAGAATTCATCAAGTTTTCTTCTTCACTTAGTACCTAGGTCAACCCATTTTATAAATTAATCTTATGAATTAAGCTGACTGATATCTCTCAGGTGACCTGTTCATTAGGTGAACGTGATTTCAAATGAGTCAGAAACTGTCCAGAATTTGCCCCAAACATGACAATTAGGTTGAAATGAATGTGGTTTTTTAAAAGTAAAAATTTTTGTTACATGGTTTCCAAACCAAAGTTTTGAAATTTGCCTTGAAGCTTGCTGAAGTAAATGAGAATTAAAATGAAACTCCATGCAGAATATAAGATTGCTTCGTTCTGGCCACACAAAATGCTTAACCAAACAGTATTTTGCCTAAAATGAATGGGTTGTGTGTCTTAACTGACCACTAGTTTTGGTGGTGCAATGCATTTTAATACAGAAAATAAAAGGTCAATAGAAAATTAAACAGAATTGCTTAATACATTACTTCATTCTTCTTTTTTTATAAAGAGCAATTTCTGCTAGCATCTAGAGAATGAGGAAGAGTCTTTGGAAAAACACACAGAAAACACTTTCAAAATTTAATCATTCCAACATCAGAGCAATGAATAAACAAGTTGGTGCCTTCAATCCTTATGAACAGATGTGAAAACAAAAGTACAACTTATAAAGGTTATTTATTTATGTATACACAATATATGTAGATAAATAATCTAGTAAATTGAGCACTTCTAATTTGATTCAAGCATGGAAATGCTTTTCATATTCAAAGACCTAAGTCCCAAACATGGAGCCAGAACCTTAAAGGAGAAAATCTAACTATAAATTATATAAAACACAATTACTCGGCTATTCAACTGTATTTTATTTGTGTGCATAAGGTATGGAAAAATGAAAAGTCACTTGTAACAGACCTTGCACACTTGTCACAGAACATTGGACTGAAAGGCATGAGAGGCACTGAAAGGTTGAGAAAAGAAGGTTTGCAACACAGGGAAGTTCTTTTGTTTTGAGCATATGATCTTTATTTCAACTATTACTTAACTTTATAGAACAAGATTTCTGAGTTGAATTTTTCTCTTTCCTCCTACTTCTATTCCAGGTTTTTATGTTCATACTTTAGTTTCCACACTCTACACAGGACAAAGAATTATTTATGTATGATACTCTGAAAGGCACCTCAATCAACATGACACCTTTATATTTATTTGTACTATATCACTTGCACAAATTGGAGCAAGAGTGGGGAGTATACAGTGAACACAAGTCATCAAGAATAATAATTATAAAAGAGGAAAAATAAAGAGTCTGGTGTATGAAAGTTTCTTCATTACTCCTTAGTATATTTATAATCAACCAATTTTCTCTCATGTTTTCCAGCTCTGTAAAGTAGGACTTGTATCCTCCCAAAGTTTGTTTGTGAGACATACAATTCCAAGCAGCCATGCTTAAAGAAATTTTATAAACCATTTTATAACGTGGCAGGATAATTTCCATGTACAGATAATCACCGGACACAGGAGTTGTTTCTTTGCCAGAACAATCCTTCCCAGTTTTGATAATGATGATTTTGACTAGATTTTAAGAAAAGCTGCCACCTGGTTATATCCATAATTAGTACCTGTGCCAAGGATCTCTCCAAGTCACAGAGTTCACAGATGAAAACCTTGAGTGTCCCGCACAAAACCTCAAGAGATATCATTTCCCCCCCGGTCAGTATTATACACACACAGCTTTGCAAAACTTTACCAGTCACCTTTGCCCACAGGAAAATAACAGGAAAGCAACTCCTTTTGCAGACAAGAGGTCTATTCGCCTGGGAACTCTCCTGTTTCTGGGAGCTGCCTGTGAATTCCATGCTGATGAGCCTTGATGGAAGTACAGTTTTCTACCAGCAATACTCATGGTCAAGACAGAAGCAGTGATGCAGCAGCAGCAGCAGCTCTTCATTCCACAGGAGTATCTCAGTATCTCACTGGTTCCATTTCAGCAGATCTGAAATCTTTATGCCATGTTTCTCTCTTCATCCTCCTTTCTTAGTGTTTAGGGAAGAAAGAAATGAAGAAAAGAAAGCCCAGAGGAAGAACTTACACTAAGATATCACTTCTTTTGCTGCACCATACTACCAGTGTTATCATGGCACATGTCAACATGACTGGGATCAAGATCAGTGCTATGAGAATTTCATCTGGTGGATCTTCCCAGTGAACCTTTTCTGAAGTACAGTTTGAAAAGAATTGTTTATGAATTCCAGTGATAAAGCCTTCTGCAAGGGGGTTTGGCCAAAAGCAACTTGCATTGTTGGCTTCACGCTCTGTGCACTGGGTAAAGTTGTCATAATACCTGGGAGTAGAAGAAAAATAAGAGAAGTTGAAATAGAATGTATATGCATATTACACTTGGAGAAAGCTACAGAGGTGCTATAAGAAATCTCTAAGAGTGTGTCTATCATATAGATACTCTGCTGAAGGACCTCCAATGGAAGCTGTGGCACAGCAAAGGCAGAAGGAGAACTGACTCACATGTACCAATGCAACTGAGAGATTTCATGTGAAGTTCTGAGATCCCAGATGGACAACAGTCAAACCCCAACTACAGCCAGGGCCTCCTAATGCCATTTAAGTACAAACAGAACTCCCTCACTACAGACATTTACACAGTCTTTAAAAAACATGCACACAAATATGCCAAGAACAGGACATTTTGAACAAAGTATGGATATTTCATGCCTCAACTGCCACTAGACATGATGTTGTCATGAAAATTATGATGTGGCACTAGGACTGAACCACAACATGCAGTACTGTGTAAAAATTTTGGTTCTGTTGCATTCTCATGCAAGAAAATAATGGGAAAATAAGCACACAAAGTTAGCTTTTGACAAAATTCCTCTTCTTTCCAACCCCAGCAAATGCCTGGCAGGGGATAAATAAAAAAATAAATTCTAATTACATGTTTGCTTATGAAAGGCTGGGAATTCCTTGTAATATCTAACATGCAATTTCAATCCTGCATGTGCTAAAATTTACCTGCTCAGGAATAACTTATATTTATGAGAATTGGCTACCCCTCAGGAAAAAAAAAAGGCAAAAATAAGCCTAAATTACTTTTGTGGTGTTATTATAAGCCAAAGAAATTCAGGAAGTGAATGGATATGGGGAAGGAGATCGGAAATTAGCAAGACAAAGAGTGTCTGGTCAGTGCACGAATAAGGCAAGAAATAAGGAAGCTGCATTATTATCTGTTGCATTTATTTTAGTCCTGCGTGACTCAATAATCTCACTTCAAAGGGGAATTAAAAATAGAAAGAAGAGAGCAAAACTCCACATGACACCTCCAGGGACAGCATCCTGTTATAGCATCTGAAGACCCTACTCTCCCTTAAAGTCCATATAAATATGAACTCCTGATGATTGTCTTGCTCTGACATTAAGTCCTACAGGGGATAAATGTTGACGCAATGCTTTGCTGTAAAGTAAAGGAGAAGAGACATTCAGCTTTTGGGCCAAGACTGAAGTCTACTGTTGACTGTCTGTCAGGGGAAATGTCTGCCCGCCCATGCTACAGCCACACAGGTTGGGAACACAGCCTCCTGAGCATCTGAATTCTCAGAGCTGTGTTCACAGAAGAAGAAAAAGCATTACAGAAAGGGCCTTCTCCAAATTCCTTGTAGTTCTCATTCTCAAGGAGTTTGAGCCAATACTACTTCATTCATAAGCAACCACAGTGGACAATCTAACACCAAACTCCGGCATGAAGATGCATATACACCCAATGTACGTGTGTTTTAAGCAAAGCGACTAGAAAGGAAGCTTTTGTGACACCAGCAACCACAGGAAAACAACGGGAAATAAGCTAAAAATAAAATACAAATATCAGCTGTTTGCTATTTTAATAGTGTCATTCTTCTGTGTGACCTGATGGCATGCACTCTTTATGTCCTTGGACTAAATTAGGAGCTGGAGATGTCTAGTTGAATGTGGGACATACAGTCCCAGAGGACCTGAAGAGCAGCAGGTCTGAAGGCAAGGCTACAAGGTTCAGCAGGCTACAATGCAGAGATGGAGAAGCATCCGTCTGCCCAGACAGGTCATTGCTCTACCTGGCACAGACATCAAGCAAGACTCCAGAATGCTGGACTCTACTCCAGCCTGCTCTTGGCCATGCTCTCATGGGCACCTTTGTGCCATCAGTGGCTGCAGTTACAGCCACCTCAATAAGAAAGTCAACAATAAATCCAGGTGGTTTCAGCATAAAAGTACCCTAAGCTCAAAGATTTGTTGATGTAATTTTTTTCCTCTGTGTTTAAAATCCTATAGAAAATTCAGCGTTCTACAAAGAATTCTGTAGATTTTTTTCTTAAATGTTAGATGGTGTAAACAAAAATATCTTCCACTGATTTTTGATTGCAAATACAACACAGCTAGAAAAAGCTGGTTAAGTGTTGCCAAAAGGCCAGATAAAAATAACTTGGGAGATAAATTGTATTTGAAATACTGAATTCCTAAGGGCTAAAGTAGATTAAAAGTGTTATTGTTGGAATTCCTTACAATTTTTCCTTAAAACCTTCTCTCATGGAAAAAAGGGGGAAAAAACCTACCTGCACTATAACTCTTAGTTCACACAACTGTGAGAATGTAGATAAAGGAAAATCTCAGCTGCTGGAGAATTGCATGTCTGCCAGTAAAGCTGAAATCACTTAAATATTTATGTAGTTTTGTAATTTAGAGTTTATGCACTGCAACAGAAAGTTCACACTAAAAAAAAGATCCTCTCTGCATGGCACTGTGGAACAGCTGCCTCAGAAGGGAGCAACTGCATCCTCATTGCTACAGCATGGATGTTTTTGTAGTTGATCAATTGGTTTGCAAGTCAGGCTTTTTTAAGAGGGAGACGGAAGTTAACAGACATTTAATTTCAGTTCAATTCTCCTATGCCTAATCCTTTAATGTCTGATGTAATTCTCTTTATTCAAATGGTAAAGGCTGGAATAGGAAACCTTTCCATTCTGTATAATAAAATGGCTATGACAAAGATGCCCTGGCCTCTAACTGGAGATACTTCAAGGACAAGTGCATTAAAGTTCCACAACTTGTGAAAGGCAGGAACAAGAAATTATAGTTTCTACTTATTCCCTGAACAAATAACTGGAAAGCACACTGGAGCTCAAGCTCCTTCACTTTTCAGAGTATAAGAGGGTGTGGGAACATTCTTATTCTTTGTGCTGAGACACATTTTCGTCCCTTTCAGGCTAGCTACAAGGGACCTAGGTAATACTCAGGAAAGGGATATTCACTGGGAGCCAGGTCACAAGCTTTGTGACAAATGGGCCAAAAAATTATATGAGTTTCAACTCAGCTAAGCAGTCCAATACAAAAACCCCAAAACCTAAACATAGTCTGAGCAGCAAAATTCATATGAAGATGTGCTTTGCCCTGATATGCTCAGAACAACTGTACTTTCTATTGAGGAACCAAATCCTTCGTCATACTGCAGATTATTGAAAATACTTTCAGAGAACACAAATAATTCCTTTCAGAGCAATCTCTGAACTATAATGCATTTGGTATGATAGATAATTTTCAATATTCTAGAACAATACCTCATTTTCAGAGCACACACACTTTTTCTCCTGTACCTTATGTTTTCACTAAACCAGATAATAACAACCATGTCATGAAACTGGGGTTTGTTTGTTTGTTTTGTTGAAACTGCGTAGTATTTTATTTTGTATTTTACCCATGAGAAAATATATTTTTACATATTATCTATAACTAAGAACGTGGACAGTAGGCAGTTATTATGAGGAATGGGAGTGGACACATTTGCCTTAATGGGACAGTGTTTCATGGAGTATCCACTCAAACTATTTAAAGAGAGAGCTAGGTTTATTACATCTCATCTATCTCAGGGTACCCAACTGCCTCTCACTCAGGGCACTTCTCAGTCTAAGTGGCGCTTGAATCTCAGCCGTAGTTTCCCACATTTCCAGGGAGGAACATGGTAAATTCTTGCTCTTTCTTCCTCAATACCCCTGCACAGGGAAATTGTAGAGATGAATGGTTTATGAAAACACAAGTCCCCCAACACCCTCCTCCACATTTTTGTGAGACTAAGAAAACAAATACATTGTTTAACTAACAGTTTTTATAAATAAGCATTTTCCGATGGAAAACTGTTATTTCAAAGAATCACAAACAATTATCAAAAAAGCTGAACGCAATATATATATATTACTTAAGACAAACATTTGAGGGCATTTTCTGGCTGCAGCCAGTAGACCCACTGTCAGTTCCAACAGGAGAATCTTTCCACCTCTCCAGCACTTATGGATAGACCACCACAGAGACACTCAGCACATAAGCAGTCAGGAATGTTTTGCAGTTGCTTAATGAGGTGGGCCAGGGATTAAAAACCAAAACACCACACTTCCACTACTCCATTTTAAATAATTCCATTTCATGATTCCTGATATAATTATAGAATATTAGTACAAGATAGATATAATACATTGTGAGTAGTTTTTGTTATTTTGAGTCCAGTAAGTACTCAGAATACAGTGAAAAATCTCTCTACCATAATTAAGTCATGATGCAAACCAGGTAATAGATACACCAGGGACACTCACTCCTGCTACTCTACAATCCCAGACAGCAATCTAGAGGCACTGTTTCAGGACACTAGAAGTCATGTGGTGTCATTCTAATACAGATACTTTAAAATTATTTGCTTTCCACCAGATTATTCAACCAAAAATTTCTTTGTACACAGTCACATATTAAATTGAATTATCATCCTTGTAACCTCACCCAGACTGGAATACAAAATGATGAAATGTAAAAATATTAACAAGAAATATCATATGATGAGAAAGGCTTTTTTTACAACATTTCCAGATGAAGTGGAGGCAGGAAGTAGCAAAAAAACTCAGAAAAATAAAAACTCTATTCTTATGTGAGATGCAGCCAGACTGTATAGAATTTCAGGGTGTAACAGCCTGGGTGAACTTCAAATAAGGGTCCAAACCTTAAGATCATCATTTCCTGAGGTTTTGCCACCATGTTAAAAGGATAGCTTTAATTTTATAGTGAGTTAGGAGCCTGCAAATATGGTGGAATATTTCTGAGATTGTCTCACTCAACATCTCTCCAAATAGATTTGTGTCTGTGTCTCACCATTCCTTTAATCACATATCTTCTGCCAAGATGAGTATTCTCACAGTCACATTTTTATCTCCCTAATCAGAACAGATCTACTGTTGTGCAGCTCCAACACAGAATTCAGCCTCAAGAAAATAATGTACTACAAAGACACAAGGAAGGAAATGTATGGGGGTGGGGAGA